TTACGTATGGATACAAAATGGCTGCGCTTCCGACTGTTTCAAGATCTATATAAGAAGATTAGGACACGCATGATCTACTTCTTGAGCTGCCATTTTGAAGTTTTTTGAGTTGCATGTTTTAAGCAAACTTATACGAGCGGTCAGTTTTATATGACATTAATTAAACTAAAATTGCATAAATCCTGTAATTTCTACTAAAAAATATAATAATAATTTCGGATGATTATGCAACCCCAATTTTATGTAACGTTTTCATCAAATAGTTTAAAAGAAACAAGCATCTTTATCTTTTGCTGTCATGATTGAAATTAGTTAAATAGGTACTAAAACTGATGCAATTACATACATACCACTTCGTAAAGTGATGCAATAAAATAAAAAAAATTTAAACTATAATAAAGAATAAAATAATATAATAATATAACAAATTTATAATTATTTTTTAAAGTACGATTGGTTATAAAATTAAGATGAAATTCAATAGTATTATTAATAAATGTTGTCAATGTAATTTGTTAATTGCTCATTTTATAATGTGAGGCCGGGACCACACACTCCCCCTGGGATGGAAACCGGCTGTCGAGCTAGAGTCAATATATCGGTGACATATTACGTAAATAGGACCGGTGTGACCAGGGAACGGGGTGCGAGACGATTTAATTGTCGCATTCCAGGCCGAATTGACAGATTCACGGTCGTCAATCGTGAGAACGATCGAGGGATCGACTGTCGGGGAAACATTGGACGGTCACCTTACAGAGAGTTCAAAGCAGGTCCTGCTGACACTCCTGTGGAGGGGGCAGCGGCTGAGACAGCTTCCTCCTCTCCGGGACCGAAAAATAGACATTAGGTGACAATTTACGAGACCGTCATCCGGAAAAGGGCTTGACCCGACTCCGGAGGAGAACGGCCCGGACGGGGGTCATCTCGGCGACCCCTCGGCCCAAATCGCGTCCCTGACAACAGACCCGGGACCAATAGAAGCGCAGAGGGACCAACGTTCGGACCAACCAAAACCTCGGGATTTCGGGTGAGAAAAGATTATAAAAGCCCGAGGTCCCAAGGACACTGAGAGTTGGTTGCGAGTTGAGGATCGATAAAGACGGTTTTATACGAGTGGATACAAAATATCCCAGAAGAACCCAGAGATCACCCAAGGAGCATACGGAAGAGATTTGAGACTTAACTTCCCAACGAAGACTTCTAACCATCCAACCTCCAAGCCTCTACTTATGATTCGGAAGAAGAGGACTCTTTCCTTCTTTGTGTTGTGCCGTCCATTCTCCGACGATCTATCGAACTGTCCGGCTTGACTTCCGACCAGACGTTGGTGTAACTCATTGTAAGCATTAATTTCCATACAAATAAACGCGTTAACTGTGGATTTACGGTCTCTGTGTAAGTCTTTGCGTCCAGCAAACCGCGACCCCCATACGGAAAAGGCTTTCTCGTGTCATCCTGACAGAACACGGGCAAAGCGAGGGTCGTAATTTTCCACCTTAAGGGCGACCTCCGTCCGATACGAGTTTAGTTTCGGGTACAGCGCGTCCATAAAAGGGGGACTATCCTCACGGTGGTGTCTCTCCAAGGGCCCCCAGCCCCTAATCACAATAATAAGTAATATATGTGTAGATATATTCTTAATTTTAAATAGCTTTCAAAAAATTCCAAAAATAAGATTTAAAATTAAATTATTTGACAATAAACTGTACATATAGCCTATATATATATATATATATATATATATA